TAACTGTTACTACAACCGGGTTAACTGTTACTACAACTGGGATAACTATTACTACAACCGCGTTAACTGTTACTACAACAGGGTTAACCGTTACTACAACAGGGTTAACTGTTACTACAACTGGGTTAACTGTTACTACAACTGGGTTAACTGTTACTACAACTGGGTTAACCATTACTACAACTGGGTTAACTGTTACTACAACTGGGATAACTGATACTACAACCGGGATAACTGTTACTACAACCGCGTTAACTGTTACTACAACCGGGTTAACTGTTACTACAACCGGGTTAACTGTTACTACAACCGGGTTAACCGTTACTACAACCGGGTTAACTGTTACTACAACCGGGATAACTGTTACTACAACCGCGTTAACTGTTACTACAACCGGGTTAACTGTTACTACAACTGGGTTAACTGTTACTACAACTGGGTTAACTGTTACTACAACCGGGTTAACTGTTACTACAACCGGGTTAACCGTTACTACAACCGGGTTAACCGTTACTACAAGCGGGATAACTGTTACTACAACCGGGATAACTGTTACTACAACTGCGTTAACTGTTACTACAACCGGGTTAACCGTCACTACAACCGGGTTAACCATTACTACAACCGGGTTAACCGTTACTACAACTGGGTTAACTGTTACTACAACTTGGTTAACTGTTACTACAACTGGGTTAAATGTTACTACAACTGGGTTAAATGTTACTACAACTGGGTCAAATGTTACTTTCTTCTTTAGTCTCTGTGTTTGTTCACATGAAACATGATACTCCTCTAATCATTTGATGCGTTTTTGTTCAAAATAAAAACCAATTAGACGAATAGTTACAGCAATAATTAAAAACAAAAACAAACTTTACTCGCTCAAGACTGCATTCATAAAACACGCTCTTGTATTGTTGGAACGTGAAGAATGCTGAAGGACATTTCCTAACAGGACACCGTAGATGACCTTTTTCTGTTATATATTGCAGAAAATATAAAAAAGCAGAATAAACCACCTGCTGCTGGTTAGCTTTATTTATTTAGTATTTTTTACCACAGAGAGGGAACTTTCATGAAGAATTAGCAGAATCAGCAACTGTTTTCATGCCGGACGCCCTTCCTGACACGACCACGGATCCACTGCGTGAGCCCACATGTGTGGAGAAGAGAAGCAACTATGGGGCTGAGAGCCTTGCTCAAGGGCACAGAATGGGGCAAATGAGGGTGGAGGCAGTGGGTGTGTCACTGTCCCATCCAAACTTTGTTTTAACGGTCAGGGAATTTGAACCTACGACCTCCTGACCCCAGGTTCGCTTTAGGACAGAAAAACCTGAAACTTTTAATCCAATCGGCAGCAGTCAGTAGTTTAAAGCTGAGTTTACCATCTCATCTGCGTCTTCCCACTCCACTTCAGACAGATCCACACTGTTGTAGTTGGGCTTTGGCTTCAGTTTTGTGCCGTCTTTATACTGCAGGGCAGAGCAAACACTTACTGAGCGTTTGTGAGTGTCTTAATGAACGACAACATTCATTTCATCGGTGCTTTGAAAAAGTACGTGTACACCCTGAACTTTGTCACATTTTAAAACTCCAAAGTATTCACCTGAAATTTTACGTGAAAAACCAAGACAAAGTAGCTCATGATTGTAAAGTTAGGAAAGGAAAACGTTTTTTACAATTAAAAATCAAAAACGTGTGGCAAGCGTATGTGTTCAGCCCTTGAAACATCGTAGAAACTCATTTACCCATTCTTTCTAAAAAAAAAAAAAGATCTCGGCTCATGTTAGTTTTGCTGCCACATCAGCTTTTGAGTTTCTGTTTAGTAGCTATTCTTCTTTTACCTTGGAGTCCCTCGTGTCTGCCTGCACTTGGGTTCAACAATACGCAGAACATGTCACCACTGTATGCATGCACCATACTGAACATGGCCGATTATAGAGATCCATGTTATAGAGAAAGACTAAAAGAACATCTCCAGGCAGCTTCATGTTCCTCTCACCACAGCTGACAGTGGTATTAAAAGTAGAAGGTCCGTGGGATTTTAGCCATCTTTCCAGGATGTGGTCGCAGGAAGAACTTCGACTCTAGGTTGATCAAATAGAAAAAGAGCCAAGCAAGACATCCAAAATCATTCAAGCTGAACTCCAAGATCAAGGCAAACCACTTTCTGATTTTAAATTGTAGAGATTCTAACAAAAAGACCCAGGAAGGCTCGGCTGTTGACAGCAAAAGAGGTGGAATGCCCCCACTGGGTCAAATCATGACGGAGAGAATTTGATCCCAGATACAAGCAGCTGAAATGAGCTTCCTTCGTCGGGTGGCCGGGCTCAGCCTTGAGATAGGATGAGGTGCTTCGTCAGCTGGGGGGCTCAGAGTAGAGCCACTGCTCCTCTGCATTGAAAGGAATCAGTTGAGGTGGTTCAGGCATCTGACAAGGATGCATCCTGGTCACGTTCTTTAGAGATTATCCAGGCACGTCTCACTAGAAGACCCCAGGGAAGACTCAGGACTCGCTGGAGGGATTGTGTATCTTCTCTAGCCTGGGAGTGCTTTGGGGTTCCCATGGAAAAGCTGGAAAGTGTTACTGGGAAGAGGCATGTCTGGGTTTCTTTCCTGGACCTGTTGCCTCTGCAGTGCTACTCCGGATAAGTGGTAGAAGATGGAGATGGAGAAGGAAGATCCACAAATGCACGTTGACTAGGCTCAATGCTTTAGGGAGAATTTTTCTGAGGCTAATGAGACAAAACTGAAGTTTCTGGTGGACAGCACAGTGGATTAGTGGTTAGTGCCGTCATTTCTCAGTGAAAAGGTCTCGGGATCAAATCCCATCCTGGAGCCTTTCTGGTGGAGTTTGCAAGTTCTCCCCATCCAAGTGTGGGTTTGGACCTAAAATGTGCACGTTAGGCTTATTGGTAACTCTAAACTGTCCCTAGGTGTGAGTGAGAGAGTGAATGGTTGTTTGTCTCATTTGTCTCTATGTGTCCCTGTGATGGACTGGAGACCCGTCCAGGGTGTCCCCCACCTCTCACACAGTGACGGCTGGCGATAGACACGAGCTCTCCACAATAAACATATACCCATTTGATTGGCCTTTATTGAACCCTTCAGAACATTTCATACACATTAACACTACGAATATAGATTTGGTAATCAGAGCTGTATCTGTACTTTAAGTGGCTTCAAAAGGAGCAGAACCAAAGCTCACCAGAGGTCGGAGGTCAGGATGAGCCAGAATATAACCATTGTTGTTGATGAGAAAGGCATAGCCATGTGCTCCCAGCTAAGAGGAAACAGAAAAACAAGTTAACTTTTCACCTGTAATTAAGAAAATTGAAATACAACGAGGACTTTGGCTCACCATGTATCTTGGCGCCAGCTTCATCACCTCCATGAGTGGGATGTCAGTACCGACCACGCCAAGCAGAATCCCATGAGACAGCTAAAAGCATTGACAGGATTTCATCATATAGTTTGAGTAGTTTAATAAAAGAAAGAATGAAAAAATATAGTGGACAGTGAAAGATCTTATTTCTTTGTAGAATTGATTCTGTCAGTGAAACCCACGAGGGCCTGTTCCGTTACATTTGGAAGCTTTGAATGTTTTGGACGGCAAGTTAAAGCTCCTGTGACATCTAATTTTTGTAATAAATATGATATTATTTTTTGAAAGATAACAATAATAATCATATTGCAAAAACAAAGGTCACACTGCTGAGATGAGCAGCTGTTGAGGTATTCACATGCCCAGTAAGAGGAAGTGATGTCAAAGGGGAATGTCTGCATGTAACCACAATGCTTAACAGAGAAGAATCTGATGTTTCTTTACATTATTTTGAGTCACAATCATATAGAGACGAAGAAGAGTCAGAGTTCAAATAATATTGTTTCAATAAACAAAAACCAGGAAGTTCCCGTTTTTAAAAAAAGTTCCCTTTTGACGTCACTTCCTGTATCACTTTGGATGTGCATCTACAAATTATTAACTAGGCGTATAACAATACATCGATTTACATCGATGCATCGAGTGCCTAAATGGCCTCGCACCCCTCTACCTCTCCGAGCTCCTGGAACCATATGTTCCGTCTCGGGCCCTGAGATCATCGGACCAGCTTCTTTTGGTCGTTCCAAAATCACGCCTGAAGCTCCGAGGGGATCGAGCTTTTTCAGTCAGAGGTCCCAACCTGTGGAACAACTTGCCCCTCAACATCAGGCAGGCCTCCTCCCTCCTGATGTTCAAATCCCTCCTTAAAACGCACCTGTTTGCTCTGGCGTTTAATACTGTGTGAGTTAGTTTATTTTGTTCTGTGTACCTCATTTTAAATTCTGTTGTTTTATGATTGACGTTTATTTTTACTGCTTGTTTTTCCTTAGTGTGATCATTAGTGTGTGTTATTGCTCCAGTAATTTTAATTCTGTATGATGTTTTTGTTTTGCTGCCTATGTTTTGCTACATTTCTGTTAAGCACTTTGATAACAGTTTATCTGTTTTAAATTGTGCTCTACAAATAAAGATGACTTGACTTGACTTGACTTGATTAAAGGATTCAAATACATCATGGAAAAATAAAAACATTGATTAATGCTGTCATTTTTAAAATACTCTTTTATTTTGAAATTCTCAAGGCACATCCGTGTCATCATTTCCGTGCGTGGCTGCGCTCGGCAGCCGCCTAACTGTTAGTCAGACCAGTTCAATATGGCCACCACAGAAAGAGGAACAACCCGTGTTTCACAGATGTTGAGTTTAAATGACGTGGTAGCAGCTGAGTCATTCCCAACACATCACATGAGATTGCATTTAATGTGATTTTCTAAATTTGACCAAAAAGTCTAAAACTAAGTCATTTTTTAAGATAGGAATTTAAAATTCTGTCATTAAAGGTGGTGGGGAATATACATTAATTCACTCACACATGATCAAATCTGTCGTCCCCAGGACTGACAGCGTGACAAAATGACGTTTTGAAGGAATAATGTGTTGAACTGACCGTCTCTTTCTTCTTGCTAAAAACTGGCATTGCCACTGTAGTCATCAGCAGTAAACTCTGAGCCTTGGTGTAAAAGAGCTGAAACAAGAATTGGCACACCAAGTAGTCGTTATTTCTCAAACATCATCATCTGAAATGCAGCACCAGGCAACATTCATCACGAACAGAGAGCTAACTGGACTCTAATGGTCCTGTCTAATTAATGGTCTAATAGTTCTGTTCCTGGACTGGTCATTACGTGATAAAGAACATTTTCTGGTTTTGCTTATAGTGCGTTAGTGCGTAAGGGGTTTCCATTTGTCTTCAGTTCTTTCAGTTACCCTTGTAGCTGATAGATTCAATGTTAATAAACACTTAAAATGTAATTCTAGAATAAAACTCTAAATCAGTGCAGCCCAATCCGGACCCTCCATAGCTGCTATCCTGCATGTTTTGCTGCTTTGACATGTTTGATTTCAATAAATGAGCGATTGACAAGCTTCTACAGAACTTGAAGTCAAGTTGAATATCAGGGAAACAACTAAACATGTAGAAGTGGCCCTCGAGGACCAGGACTCTGCACCACTGCGTATCTTATCAATTTGAGGCCAGTGATGGTAGCAGAGCCTTTTGTAAGTGTCTACAGAGAAGGCCGTCGGACTTCTGTTCTTGTTTCTCAAAGACTTTTCGCATGATGGTTCAGAGTTTATTAACCGGTGTTTGGACATTCACATTTATAGGATCATTGGTGCTACTTGACACATTGACCCAGCCATAGGTCCATACGTTGCATGGATTGATAGTCTCTGTGTGGTTTTAACCATTCATGTCTTGAAAGTAAAACTTGACATTTCAAAGTCCCTGTGATGGACTGGAGACTTGTCCAGAGTCCTCTGCCTCCCCTACAGTGACTGCTGGATATGGTCACCAGTGACCCCATGACTCGAAATGGAAAAAGTGGGTAAAGACGATGGTCTTGTTGGTTAACAGCTCATAGGAGAGACAGGTGAGTCACTGAGTCATGTGACTCCTTCTCTAGCTGCAACGTCCAACCTCTGACCAGAACTGAAGAAGCCTCCCAAGTCTTTCCATGAGTGAAGTGTTTGAGTAATAATAAAAGAAGTCATTTAAGCCCTCATTATGGACATGTCCTGGATGTCTGAGAATCACTACACCGATCCCTCCAACCTGAATATTAACACTACATCTGAGAATTAGGGGGTATGAGACCGTTCAGGATTTTTGCAGAAGGTTGTCAAATAAGTTGAATGGTGCATTTACAAAAAAAAAGTCATGTCCGTGTTGTTTATAAATGTGTTTTAAATGCATCATTTCCCTTTATATAACGTGTGTCTGTAAAGATTAGCACCTCTTCCCTCCAGTCCAACATAAAGCGCCGTTGTGACCAACATGCTGCCTTTTTAAACTTGCTGCAAACCAACTAGTTCCTGTGACATGAACCTCAGTGGTTCCATGTCTGGATTGGGTTCTCAGGTTCTCGCTTTTCACAGATTACTTGTAATTTCTACGGCTGTCTCCCTGGAGTCAGCTCTGTTTGATTCAATAAAGACCAGCTGCCCCTAACCGTAGTCCACCATTCTTTTAGCTACGTCAACAAGGCTGTATCAGTATGAGATTTGGGGCAAGCTAAGTCTAGAACTGGACTTTATCAGAATAAATCTGATGAGAAACTAAAGATTGATATAAGACACTGTCTTTAGTTCTCTGTTCTTTACCTCCTTTGTGTTGGGAAGCTGTCAGGATGAAGGATGTCCCAAAGGATGATGGGAAATGATGACACATAAATGGAGGAAACAGACAGATGAACATGAAGAAGATGATAATGACTGTGTAGTAAACTAATGGAAAGACGACGATCACTTCCAAATTAAAATACAGTAAAAATATTAATAGGCTTCTGCTGTGAGTCGTCTTATTGGCCAGCTTGGCTCACCGCAGTGTCCATGTAGGCTTCCGTCCAGATGATGTCATGGTCGTGGTTGATGACCATTGGTCGGCTAAGCACATGCAGGTACTCCATGACGTTCTCCTGAACATCCGCCAGGGTTGAGATGTGTGTGTAGTAGCCTGAAGAAAGCCACAAGAATATACGTGAGTATACTTGAGGAGAAAGTACGAGAAAACGCGCACAGGTCTGACCTTTGTTGTTGCAAGCGATCCACTTGGTGTTCTGGGCGAAAGTCATCTCTCTGCCAATGAGGTAGGTGAAAACTCGCACCTGAACAAAGAGGTGGTTATACTGAGCCGGCTCATCTCAGGTACTCTCCACACGTTATCCTGCACTTACTCAGGCATGACTTCGGTCAAACTCCTTTTAAGAATAATTACAAAGATATTTTCAGAAACAACTGTAACTTTAATGTATTACAATGGGACTGAACTGATTGTTGCTCGGATTGAATCTGACTTGAATGGGCTTAGAGGATTTTTGTTTTGAATTTACACTTTATTACATGTTATTTTAATTCTATATTTTCCCCAGTAACTGTATTAGAATATAGCTATTTTAATTTTTTAATTAAAACGCATAATGCTGTTCCACATAACTATTTGCACCATAACCCTGTCAACATGCACAAATAGTAAACTGAAGGTAAAGTACGGTCAGTTTGGGCCGTGGGGATGCCATGGCTGTGAAACATTTGAATGCTCATAAGAAATAAAATGTGTTTGGTTTTTGCCCGGTGCTGGTCCTTACCCTTCGGTCAGGCCAGTTGAGCTCCTCAAAGACAGACTCAAAGTCCTCCATGGCTCCGTCTGTGATGATCATGATGGCCTGATTACACATGCTGCCCTGACCCTTCACCCTCACCTGCACATACACACAAAGCTCTGTCAAACTTTTCTTTAGATTATGTTTTATAATACATCATAACAAGGTTGACCTGAGGACACAAACCTCATTCAGGATCTTGAAGGACTCCTTCAAGGCATGCTTGATTTTTGCTTCTCCTTTAACATCTAGGTCATCCACCAAAACCTTAAAGTGCTAGGAAAAGATAAAAGAAACAATGTTTTGTAATTGGTATTTACAGCATCTTAAGGGTTATCTGAGCCAAAGTACAAATCTGTCAGGATCTGTGTGATTTGTATTGTTTTAGTCTTCTTATGGTTCTTGATTTTAGTTGCTGTTTTTTTTCTGAGTCTGTTTGACTTTTGTCTCAGCTTCTCCACTGTTTTGTGTTCCTGGGCATTAGCAGCAGGAGAACTATCTACAGCCAAACTGGAAAGACTCTGACCTCCCGAAATGAAGTACTCCAGGTACCTGAGTACTGGGAAATACTCTCAGATGTACAGATTTTTTATGCAGAGTTGGCTATGGTCTCTGAGCGGCTTGCAGGTCTACTCCCTGGGTTCCCCTTTTCCGCTGCTCCACAACAGGTCCCAGAACAACCTGGCGAGGCTGAAGCTCCAGTCCAGAGGTCCCCGAGCAGCCAAAGAAGCAGCCGAAACAGCCTCAGCCAAAGGAGGTCTTGGTGTCTGTTGCTCCTGCTGAGGTCTCCATGTCTGCTGAAGTTCCAGTCTTCAGGGTTCTGCCCTCCAAGAGTGTTGGCCATGACGTCCTACCTCCATGTGTCTCTGCGGGTGTGGTGGTGGCCAGCTTGATCTTTGAACGGGAATTTTCTTACACCAAAATGCAGCAACGCACCAAAATGGAAGCCGGTGCCTCTCGTGTTTTTTTTAACATGGATGGACAGATGAACGGAGGATATTTCCAACTCCCCACTTTGTTCCACGATTGGGGACAAATATGGATGCTCCATATGTTAGCTAAAGCTATGTAAATCTAAGTAAGACAGTAGCGATATATGGATGGATGTTTCCCTGCCGATGCCGTTTCTGTTAACCTCACTCCACGTGATCCAGTGTTCTGATGAAACAGCATCGCTGGTGCAGGCGAACTGGCTGCAGGTTCGATAATGGTTCCTGTTATTATTGTGTCCGGCTTCCTCAAGTTAAAACTAATCAAAATACTCCTGTTGTAAAGCGCAAGCCGCATGTGGAATATTAATCCAACGGCTCCTGCAGTTTTTAAGTATCACAGATGTCCCTGTGCCACTTAGCTTAAGTTTTCCTTTTTTATTAAGAAATCCATAAAAAGCAACCAATAAAACACTGAGTTTGTAATAAATTTTTGTTTACACCCATGTGTGCAACAAATTGTTGGTATCCAACAAAGTATCCACAACAAACTGAGTTCCTGGGACTGAGTTTGTTGTGGCTCCTCGAACTGATGAAGTCCTTTGGATGAAGGATGAAACGTTACAACAACAAAAAAAGATGACCTGGCTGATGTTTGTTGGATTGTCTACCTGGATTATTGAGCATGAACTTCGAAAGTGTTGGTATATTGATTGTTTCCAGTCGTAACGTTCTTAGTTTGTTTCACAATCAACTTCAAAACAACATCGAGGTCTTTTTGACCTTCAACAGAAAACCCCAACAGCCCAGTGTGTGCTTGTGATGTCACGATGCAACGGGTGGACATAAGTTTAAAACTGCGCAGTCGAGAAAATCCAAGAGTTTGAATTAATCTAGAATGACTGAGTATGTTGTGAACGTATAAAGAACACGTTGTGTTTGACCGTAATACTAAAATCCAAATTCCTCTGAGAAAAATGAGAAAGAAAAATCCGATCACATCAAACTCAAACTTGATCTTGGTGAACCCAACAGTTCCTGGATGGTTTTACCTCTCTGTTATCCAAGTCCGCCTGGACCAGAGTTCCTCTGAAGCACGGCTCGATGTAGCGAACATAGTCAGTGTACTACAAACAAGACGACACAGAAGTAAGAAGGTTCACATGTTCAGACTCAAAATATACAGCACCTTTTTATCAAACCAAGACACTCAAAGCTCTTTCCAACACAATCTGTGCCTCATTTACCTCCACACACTTTCATACAGCTCTCTACTACGTCTCTACAAGATAATCTGAATCTGTAGAGACGAACCAGGGCTTTACATCACATTCATACACTGATGGGACACATCAGAGGCAATGAGGCGTTCAGTGTCTTGCCCAGGGACACTTCAATGACTGCTGGTGGCATCAAACCCCCAACTCTCCCATTTGGAGGACGACTGCTGTAACCACTCAGCCACAGCGGCCCCATGATAGGAAGCCCTGTTAACATACCACCTTAATTTGAACTAAAGGAAAGTCACTTCCTGGTAAAACGCAGTGCGGGAGCTTTTTACTGAATGACTGTTGCTGAAATCAGCTGAAGAGGTTTCATTAACTGTTAATGTGAGCTGAATGTGAACAGCTGACATTTGCTGAACGACCAAGACAAACAGCAGAAAAGTGAAGAAAAAACTGAATAAAGTAGAAATAAGCAAAATAAGCTGAAATGGGCAGATATATGCTGAATAGATGAAACAATCTGAGAGTGGTGGGCACAGCTCTGCTAACGGTTAATAGTGGAAAAGCATTTATGCTAACTTTTGAAACCGTTAGCAGAGTTATCTTACAACAAATTAAGGTTTTCCAACTTTAAGTCCAGTAACAAAATTCACAAGCTTTTTTCGAGTCTGCTGGGGGCGTGGCCCAAAAAGTATGTTAGGAACACTATTGGCTGACTGCGTGAACATGTGACAAGACGTGGTTGGTCGACGTAGCATCAGCTGGAAGGAGATGAAGACGTGTGGCTGAGTGAACGTCGTCTTAGCGGTTAGTGGTTTAACGTAAGTGTCCACTCGTTTTTTTTTTAGTTTACCTGTTTTGTAGGAATTACAGTAATTCACACTTCAGGCGTGTAGATTTGTTGTTGTCATGGTCTGTTTATTTCTGGTTATCTTAGTTTCTCCTTGTGGTTTTTATTTTATTTCTCTGTCCTTTGTGTTTTGGTTCTGCTCCTGGTGTTTCTGCTTCACTCCTCATCCTCAGTCAGCTTCAACAGGTCTTCAGTCAGTAATGTCTCACACCTGTTTCCAATTAGCAATCATCCCAGGTGCTCTCTCCCTCAGCTCTATTTAAACATGTCTATTCACCACCCCAGCAGCGACTCGTTAGTTTTGGTTTCACACCAAACGTCTCCGTCCTCCCTCCTGTGCTCCCTGATGTTATCCCTCTCGTGTTCCGTATAATTTTTCTTTTTCTAAGTATTTACCGCCCCGTTGGCTTTTTGTTTTGTTATTTGAATAAATCAGTTGAGACACTGCGACCTGTCCAGGGTGGGCGCCAGTGACCCCCGTGACCCGAAAAAGGAAGAAGCGGGTAAAGATAATGGATGGATGGATGGATGGATGGATGGATGGATGGATGAATAAATCAGTTCAATCAAGCTCCTCTGAGTCTGTCTGTATTTGAGTCCTATCCACCACCGGCCACAATAGTTGTTTTAACAAAATGTTTTTAAAATGTTCTCACAGCAATGACATTAACAAAGTCATTCTCTCCCAGCGTGTCCAGGATGGTGTTGATGGTGTGTTTGGCAATGGTCATCTTCAGCCCCTTCATGCTGCCGCTGATGTCCACCATAATGACAATATCTTTGGGAGATGTGGCTGCCTGGATGTACCTGCAGAGAGAACGTGTAGACTGACATTTGTGCTTCAGTGCTCAATATTCATAGTGTTGAAAATGCATTTTGAGGTCTGTGTATGAATCCTTGCACTTTTGCAACCCATTTGCAGAAATGCACCATACGTTTGCACCATACGCACATGTATGGTGTGCATGTGCACAGCTGCACAGAGAGTGGCGAAGGCTGCACAGAAGATGTTGGAGTCAGTCTCCCCACGATCACAGACATCTACACCTCCAGATGCAGGAAGAGGGCCACCTGCATCATGAAGGACCACACTCACCCAGCACACACACTTTTTGCCCCGCTCCCCTCAGGAAGGAGGTTGAGGAGCATTAAGTGCAGAACCACTAGACTGAGGAACAGCTTCTACCCTGAGGCTGTTAGACTCATGAATCTATAACCAGAAGAATCACTGTGATGACACTTTAATTGGTGATATGTCAATTTATCTGTGCTGCTGATCCATGCTGCTGATTTCTTAGCCATAAGCTGCTGTATTCATATCCATCTGCTCACAACAGACTCATGTTCAGGCTGCTGTTTAATACACCATATTCATTTACATTATTATTTAGCGTATATCTTAGATCCTTATATACTGTTCCTTTTGATACTTTATATTTTTGCTATTTTTGGGTGTAACTGGGACCTTGAGTACATAATTTCATTCCACCTCATGGACCACATGTGAAGTGAATGACATTAATGAACCTTGTTTAGGGAAATGCACAACTATGTGATCATTTAGCAGAGCCCAAACAGTCACACACATCCTCAGCTGACACACGTCCACGTTTACATCTGAGCTCAAGTCCTGAGGCTTCACATCGAGTCCACAACAGACAACAAGTCCGCCACACATGCAGTTTTAATTGCATCATCATTTCTCTGAAAGCACAGTAGAAAAACAAGACACTTGAAATAACTTTGGAGTTCTTTGAGGACCAAACTCACCAGTTTCTGTTCCTGCAGTCAAAGGCGACCACACCGTTGGAGTCAGGAGTCCATTTGATACCTTTACAGATAAAGACATTATGTTGATTCACAAACAACGTTTCCTAACAGGCAGGACAAAAGCAACACAAAGAACCTCCTCAGATAGTAGCAGTGAGTTTGTAGATTATAAAAATACTCAGTAAGGAAATATTTAAACAAGTGTGGCTTTGTTATTGAGCCAAACTGACACTATTTAAGTCAGGGGTGTCAAACTCACTTACAAAAAGGGCCAAAATTAAAACCTGGGCCAGTCTCAGAATCTACACGAACTCAAATCAGAGACCAGCATCTTCTCTTGGTCACAGGTTCCTCAACAAGAGTTTGATTGGTCTCATTTGATGTTCTCTGTTGTGCTTTCGACATCATAATCAAAGATTGCTGAAAAAATTCAAGAGATAGAAGTATTTTACGTTTCACATATCATCCTGGAGGCCAGATAAGATGTCACCGAGGGCCACATTTGGCCCCCGGGCCTTGAGTTTGACACATACGCTTTAGAGTCTAGAGACTTTTCTCCTCTTGAGGTGCTCAAATCCCTCATTAAAACTAGCATTTTTTGAAAGAATACACATCACATGCTTCCTTGCAGGCCAAGATTTCAAATAAAAGTGTGATGAGATCTAGCATTGGTGTTTAGAGAAGTTCATTTATCACCTTATTCCTGGAAGCTCTTTGGTATAAATGATGATGGGTACTACTTCCTGTCAGACAGGAAGTAGCAGTCAGCATTGGTTAACCATGGTAGTGGAGCACAGACTAAAGTTTACATTCAGTTTATCAGATAAAACTCTGTTTTTGTTTTGTTCACATTAATTTAACAACCATAAAGTTTAGTAAAATAGCCGTGCTGCGTTCAGGTACCTGTTGTGTTCAGGGCTGCAGAACAATCAGACCAAACTAAACAGTGGCTCCAATAACAGAGTTTGAACACGGACCAAAACAAAAAGAGTTCCTTTGAAAAGAGCTTTAGTTTCATCTTCTACCTACAGATGAGGAATTAAGAAGAACATGTCTGAAAAATGTGAACTTGAAGAGACCACCCAAACTCTGCATGTGAGCTCATTTCACTTTGTTGACAATTCAATTCAGTTCAAAAATACTTTATTAATCCCAAAGAGAAATTATTTGTTGTTGTAACTCGTTATCCTCATTTCATTAAGAGATGTTATAGATGCTGATGCTGTAGGCAGGAAGGATCTCTTGTAAAGGTCCATCTCACAGTGGATCCTAAGAAACTGGCTGCAGATGCCGTCTGATCCGTCCACCCAGACTCAGCTGGACTCTCGGTTCCCCCGGACTGTAGGACCGCCTGAATACAGAGCAGAACTCCTCCCAGAGTGATGGCCACTCCTCCCAGCAGACTGCCGAGTTCCTCGTCGCTGCGGACAGCCAACTGTAGGTGCTGAGGGACGATCCTGTTCTTCCGCTGTCATGAGCCGTGTTCCTGCTAGTTCCAGGATCTCAGTGGTCAGGCACTCGAGCACAGCTGGTAGGTAGATGGGAATGCATCCACAGAACATCCTTTCAACTCATTTGAGATTTGGGGCTGTAGTTGAGATATTATTTGAGCTTTTGAGATGTTAATCAGCTGTTGGTTGTAGAAAACTGCCTTGTTGCCATGGTTACGCATCATAACAAATGTCCAAAACTAAAAAAGTTTCAGTAAAAATCCTTCCAGCTGCACAGCATCCGATACCAGAGGAAACAATCATCCAAAAAATGTGATTTACATCCAGAAAAAGAGGAATTAAAGTTTCCAAAATCAAAATCTCAGAATGAAAGTAAGAGAGCTGCTCCGACATGCAGCCACCTGGAGCGGCGCAATTCTAGAAAGTTCAAGACAAGTTCTAGACAAACGGAGGAAAACCTGCATCCTACTTTGTGTTTGGACGACAATAAACCACCGGAGAAGAGACGCTGGATCCTCAGAAGGATTGAAAACAGTGATGAGAACATCAGGTATGATTTCAGGTGTATGGAGGTCACAGCTTTATATATTTGTTCATCTTCAGTTTTATGATTTTCTCTGTAATGAACCCAAGCTCAGTGATGGAGGACTTTAAGACTTTGTCTGGACTCTGTGTCTGATTTAAGATCAATAAGATTGTGTCCCACCTCTTTTAACAAAACACCGCCGACCTTATTACTGTGGAGACACTGATACACTCAGAGCTTCTCAGGTTGTTCATCACTTCACCGTCAGAAGAACTGAGTCAGTGAAGTAGCTAAATATGCTAGTAGATGTAGCTAAATATGCTAGGATAAGTAGCTAAATATGCTAGTAGATGTAGCTAAATATGCTAGGATAAGTAGCTAAATATGCTAGTAGATGTAGCTAAACATGCTAGGATAAGTAGCTAAGTATGCTAGTAGAAGTAGCTAAATATGCTAGTACATGTAGCTAAATATGCTAGTAGATGTAGCTAAATATGCTAGTAGATGCAGCTAAATATGCTAGTACATGTAGCTAAATATGCTAGTAGATGTAGCTAAACATGCTAGGATAAGTAGCTAAGTATGCTAGTAGATGTAACTAAATATGCTAGTACATGTAGCTAAATATGCTAGTAGATGCAGCTAAATATGCTAGTACATGTAGCTAAATATGCTAGTAGATGTAGCTAAATATGCTAGTACATGTAGCTAAATATGCTAGCAGATGTAGCTAAATATGCTAGTACATGTAGCTAAATATGCTAGGATAAGTAGCTAAATATGCTAGTAGATGTAGCTAAATATGCTAGTACATGTAGCTAAATATGCTAGTAGATGTAGCTAAATATGCTAGTAGATGTAGCTAAATATACTAGTAGATGCAGCTAAATATGCTAGTAGATGTAGCTAAATATGCTAGTAGTTATAATCTGCAGCCACTTCTTCGGCTCGTCCTCCGTCCCTCATCCTCAGCAGCAGCGGTGTGATTATATCGTCTTGTTTGAGCTCTGACAGGTGGTGTTCCTACATGTTTAAATTGAATCCACAATGCTCAGAGAAACTACATTAACTCGTCCTGTTCACACAGAAACAAATGCTGGTTTCGGTCCGTGCATGAAGTCGTGCCCATAATTCACACAAGGCAGCATGGGGGCGAGGAATAAGGTGGATAGGCCTCTGCTGCTGGTGCTCCTATGGAAAACTATAGAACCAAAAACTGCCGTAGGATGACAACAAAGGTTAAATCATATCTAGAACTGGTCCAGATGACATGATTTAACTGTTTTGTTGTTATCTGCCTGGATGATTGAGCCTACAAACCTTTTAAAACTTAAATCACAACATAAAGTGACATTATACAGATGAATAGTTTGATCATCCATTTTATCCTGTGATAATGAATGCAAGACGTATTTTCAAAATAAACTAAATACCAAACAGACATTTTCTGACTAAATACAGTTTTTGCCACAACAAACAGAACAGTCAACATAATATTCAACACAACAGGTCAAAACAGACACTTCCCCTTTAACATGAACAATTATAAGAGTTTTGTCTGGATAAACTTACCGGGGTAGATCCTGAAAAAGCCAAAGGAACTCCCGAAGTACTGCCAGGTGAGCGTGGGGTCTCTCTGGAAGTTGTTGATGAAGTTGTCATTTAAAGCCTCTGACATGTAAATCGCGTTGAGGATGTTCGGATCTGCTCAGACGAAGGACAAACACCGAATTAGACGTTTTGGGAACCAAGCTGGCTCTGGAGATTTTCTGCTGTAAAGACCCTCTGACCTTTGTTGTAGACGTTGGTGGGAACCTGGATGTTGCTCTGCTGAGTGTTCACAGGCAGGTTGTTGAAATGTTCGTTCTCTTCCAGGAGAAACTCTCCACCTAGATCCACGTTGTTCCCGTCTTCGTCCACGGTGTTGATTAGCATGGAGTTGTGGTAATCGAACTGACGGACAAAGCACGTGTAACGTTTGGTCACAAAGTACCAGGCGGCACCGTATCAGCTTCCAACCACCAGTCAGGTCACATGACCTGAGTGAAGGGGTCTCTGAATAAAACACTGATTAACTTTTGGAGCCATTTTGCTTCAAGATGGCCGCCACAGCTACCTGAGAAAACTCAAAATGGACTAAAACGCAGTCATTCTTTGAGGTATCACACTGAAAATTGGTGTGGTCGTAGCTGAGAGTGAGCCGTTATAAATTCCTGATGCAAATTGAAAATCCAAGATGGCCGCCTTAACTAAAAGGGAATACGATAACTCGGCTATTTTAAAGATATTGAGCAGAAATTTGGTGCGATTCCAAATGGCTATAATTCAGAGGTTTTTAGAGCTATTCAGCTGAAATTTAGTGTTTTGGTAAAATCCCTGATAAGACACTGATTTTAAATCAAAAATCCAAGATGGCCACCTGATCTAAAAAGGAAAAATACTATAAATCAGGCATTTTTAGAGATATTAAGTTGATATTTGCTGCGGTAGTGGCTGAGAGCAATGCACAATAAATACTGAATTCAAATAAAACTTTAAGATGGCCACCAAAGCTACATTTAAATGGCTTTATCAAGTATTTTTACACATATAGAGGAGAGTGAAGGAAGCCATTTGTGTTCAACACGATAAAACAACTTTAGACAAAGGAGGAGGTCTCAGATTTGTATTCAAATTTAAATCACATGATCAAAAAAAGTCCATGACATCTAAACCAATTAAACATTATTTATGTTTAGTAGTGAAAATGTACGTGTGTCATCACTCAATATGAGTTTGTTCAGAGGCCAACCCATTAAGTCCATCCCCCGGTTCATATGAATTTTGACTTCGCTCGTATCTTTTAACTCCACTGACCCATCAGGTCAAACAAAGGATTGTCTTACAGACGATAATAACGTTTTCTCCAAAACAGATGATTGGGGACGCACCTATTATTCTACACCTCGGAAGTGCGTCTACATTTCTATCCCCGTTAATTCGGCCCAAACCACAGCGTCTACCCCCACAAAAGTTATATCAAAACGACCGGCTCGGCCCCGTGATGTGTGCTATTACTTTTACTGGCATTTCGAGTTACCATGGCGAAGTAATTTGCGAACAAAGATGTAATATTTCACCAACTCCAGGAACTAGTTGGTGACTGCCCACTTATTATTCTACACCTGAAAAGATTATCTTTTTCAACTTTAATGCAGCCCAAACCACAAAGTGGACCCCCACAAAAGTTATATCCAAAGGACCGGCCCGGCTCCGAGATGTGTGCCATTACTTTTATTGGTAATTGGCGTTACCATGGCGACATATTTTGCTAACGAAAATGACAAATTTCCCACAGGAAATGAATAGGAGAAAACTTTTCAAAGAAACTGAGTAACGTCAGGAGCCATTTTGGTTCAACATGCATCGAAGGCACCTATTATCACCTATTATTATTATTAGTAAAAATAATTAACATAAATTATTAATTATTTGTTTAAATAATTACAAATAATAACATTAACAAATACTAATATTAATACTTGAGATTTACTATTAATTATTAATATTAATATAATTATCAAATATATTAATAGTTTTTAATAATTCATATATTTACAAAATATTAATAAGTAATTATTAATATTAATATTTATTATTAATAATTAATAATAAATCAAAGTTTCTCCAGGAACTTTTGAGTTGATTTTATAAGTCAATTTTAGGTCCATCTGAACTGAACAAACCATCAGCATCAATCATTCTGTGCAGCTGTTGGTCGATATTTGTGAGTTTGTTTACTGAAAAAGAACTAAAACTAAATGTAGTTTCTGTATGAAAGGCCCCCCTCAGTCCTTGAACATTTCACATGAGGTATTTTGTCTAGATTTTTCTGCTGGCTGGATTTGGGCCACTGGGGTCATAGGTGACGTTGTCTCAGGTTTCTTTGCCGTGGCGTCGACCCAGTTTCCTTACAGGATTATTGAAGCTTGATCTAATCTAATTTCAAGTGTCAGCCGAAGACTTAAAACTTCAATCTCTAGGTGGCTGGCACCATTTATACACACTGTTAGCATGGTATGCTAACATGCAAAGGATCAAAAACTGATTATTAGTTACACAGAAATAATGCAAATGTACAAAATACATTTCCACTAGAGCTTTATGGTTCCTACCTGCCTTTGTTTGAAGGGAGTAGAAATAGTGAGACGCAGAGTAACATGCGGTGTAAAATGTGCATGTTAAGCGCATGCATGCCACGTAGGTAATATTAAAAAGTTGCTCACAAGAACTGTATACTGGTTGATGTATTGAGATTTTAAAGAATAGTGATACGTGATATACGATGAGACATATCGTTCATATCTATTTTAATCTAGACGTTTGACGAATGATTCCTTTCTGAGGGTTTTATTCAAATCTGCCAAGTAGTTCATAGATATTTTGCTAACAATAATCAAAGGGAAACAGAACCAGCTGGACAACATGTCAGAAGCTTTTAAAAGCCAAAAGATCCGGAGAACAAGACGGTTTAAGGATTGTTTCGTATTTTTGAAATGAGCACAGATGTTCTAAGAGACAAGTGTGACGGAGGACCAGGTGTGAGATGGAGAGGAATTATGTGCAGCTGAGCGAGCAGGTGAACCAAAGAGGAGAAACCACTGACCTGCAGAGAAGCGTTGAACTCGTGGTACAAGTCGGCGTCCTCTGCGGACTCTGCTAACCGCTGCCCAAAGAGACGCGAAGGACAAACAGTAAAATAGAGATGGCACAAAATGAAGTGCATCAAGGCAAGGTTTGAAAAGGTTGGTGAAAAGTTATCGGCCACGCCTTACACCAGAATGTGACTGCTGCGTCGGTGCACAACTAAAAACGTGCATGTTTCACCACAAAGCTTTAAAAAATGTAAAAAGAGCAGAACTTTAAAGCTCCAGTTCGTTACACACCGTACCTTTAATGTTCAGCAAATGTCGTGTCTTCACTGCAAATCAGACTTCACTAAATTTAGGTCTGGATTTACAGAAAAAGGAGCCGAGACGTTGGCGTTAACCAGATTAAATGGAGTGGATTAACTACATTTTCTCAGTTTTATCATTTGCTTTTACTTATGATAAAGTCACTCAAGTTTACATTTTAAAAAAAAAAAAAGCCAAAACGTTTAGAAAAAGTCAAAGCAGTATTTTTGGAATGTATTTAAAATGTCAAAAAAATAAAGTTGTTACAGTATTTTGAGATTAAAAATAAAGTAGAAGACAAATATAATTGGTAAAACCTCAGAAAACAGTTGTTGACTTTATACTTCAGAATACATTTTGGTAATGAGGAGATAACAACACACGATGTCTGGAGCTAAACAGCCTGATAAGATGCTGATGATCAGGCTTTTATTGTGAAGGACCGAAGAGTTTTACTGTAGTGATGATGTTGCTGCAGTAGTAAGAAAGACATGCCTCTGGTTCAACAAAGGGGCTTTGAGAGTATCAGCTGCAATAAAGACCTATCATCCACTTCCTTATAAAATGGAGTTATAAATTATCTTATGATGAGAAATGAAGTTATTGGTTAAACCTCAAAAACGTGTGTAATCTCATGCTCTCTGTTCTGAACTGGTCTGAAAACCACGTCTTCAGATGAACCTTCTCTTCTTAATGTACCCAGGTGTACTTTCTATTTTAATATTTGATTTTATTTATTGATTTTTAAACTATTATTGTTAACCGGTGGCACGGTGGATCGATTGGTAGAGCTGTTGCCTCTCAGCGAGAAGGTTGCCTGTTCAAATCCCGGCCGGGACCTTTCTGGGTGGAGTTTGCATGTTCTCTCCGTGCATGTGTGGGTTTTCTCCAGGTACTCCAGTTTCCTCCCACAGACAAAAACATGCATGTTAGGCTGATTGGTAACTCTAAATTGTCCCTAGGTGAGAGAGAGAATGTTTGTTTGTCTCGTTTGTCTCTATGTGTCCCTGTGATGGACCGAGACCTGTCCAGGGTGTCCATGTGATGGACTGAGACTTGTCCAGGGTGTCCTTGTGATGGACTGGAGACCTGTCAGTGTGTCCCTCGCCTCTCACACAGTGACTGCTGGATATGGGCACCAGTGACCCCCATGACCCAAAATGGAAGAAGTGGATAAATATAATGGATGGATGGATGGATGGATGGATGGATGCATAGATGGATGCATAGATGGATGCATAGATGGATGCATAGATGGATGAATGCATAGATGGATGGATGGACGCATGGATGGATGGATGCATGCATAAATGGATGGATGGATGCATGCATATATGGATGCATGGATGGATGGATGGATGCATGGATGGATGGACGCATGGATGGATGCATGGATGGATGGATGCATATATGGATGCATGGATGGACGGATGCATGGATGGATGGATGGATGGATGGATGGATGGATGCATGCATAAATGGATGGATGGATGGATGGATGCATGCATAAATGGATGGATGGATGGATGGATGCATATATGGATGCATGGATGGATGGACACATGGATGGATGGACGCATGGATAGATGGATGGATGGATGTATGGATGTATGGATCATTGTTAACTCGTTTTATTTTTATTTATTTATTTTGTTGCTGTTTAATGGTTTCCAGCTGCATATTGTCCTTGAGTGTCCTAAATGACACTTTTAAATAAAATGCATTATATGTATTTATATGTATAAATTTAAACATAATTCTAATTAGTGAAACTTGGAATGCTGTGGCGTTTTATTTTTTCCTTTGGACTCACCTTCACAGTCTTCATCTTACTTTTCAACATCCGCTCGATGTCATCAGAGTAGTCCTTGACCAAATCGTCTCCTCTCACTTCCACAATCTTAACGACCGACTCCACATCCTTCAGTTTCTGAGAGGGAACAAAACACAGAGGCTTTACTGCATCACCTGCCGTTTCTCTGCAGACACAAGAAAAAAGTCTTCATCACAATGGAAGCCTGGCTAAAGACAACATCGGTAGTAAAAAAATTAAAAAGGTAAAAGACAAAGTATAACGTGTAACCTTGCATAACATTTAACCTTGATTTGTGACCTTGACCGTGGAGCTCACACGATCTGAAGATGATGCATTTGTGTATGAAGTTTCATTAAATTATCTTGAGCGCATAAAATACGGCCCCGAACAGTAAAAGACCTTGTTTTAACTTTGACCTTGATTTATAACAATGACCTTGGTCCAGATTTTTCCATCTTTACTTCTAAAGTTTAATCCAGTAGATTGAGAGTGGCAGCCGATGGGTACAAAGCAAGCCATGGTGGGTCTGATGTGGGCGGAGGTGGGAGAAGAAATCCTGTGCACGGCCAAGAACGTATTTTGCAAGGCGGTATAGAAATATACGTGTTTTTCAAAAGTCACCCACACAGTACGAGGCTACAGCTCACTGGGTTGCAGACACGTAGAACTCAGTACGACTGCAACGTAACATAATGTGCCGGTTATCTTCCAAGTTTAAGATGCCAACATTCACAAAGCTCTCTTGCTAGTCTGGAAGGTCCCCAGGCAGACCACCCAACTTCCATAACTGGTCTGGATGGTGCTCAGGCTGATTCCCCGAACTCTCTTTCAAATAGACATACGTCTGAGACTCTTCCCCTCAGCACGTAGCTGCAGAGGCTGCAGGAGGGCAGATGAAAGTGCTCTCACAGCACAGCATGACATGACCACATGGTCCTTGACATTTCTGTCCAAACTGCCACAACACATACATGAGATCTTGTTGCACCATAAATGACGGACACATGCTGAATGGATCAAAACAAAAGGTGAAATTAGACTCAACGTTTCTAGTCCAGCTGGATGAAGTAGCTGAACTTTAGTGACCCGACAGTCTTGACCGAGAACCTGACTCGTTTTGATCGTATTTACCTTCTGCAGGAGCAGAGAGCCAGAATATTTGGTTGAAAGGTCTTGAAGCTCCACGGAGAAGACTGATGCCCACTGCTGCACCCTGACAACAGAAAAACAGGAAGTTACAAGAAAATACAGAACAAAGGAGCTAAACTACTTCTAGTTCAGGAGTTTCATTTATAACCTTTTAGCTCTTTTGCTTTTAATAAGATTTTTATTATTATTATTATTATTGTGGTGTGGGAGAGTGGTGGTGCAGAGGTTAGAGAAGGTGGGCCTGTGATCAGAAGGTCGCCGGTTCAACTCCCCAGATTGGCAACATCAAAAATGTGGGTGGGAAAGGTGAAACACCCACACCTGCCTCCACCTTCATTTGCCCCACTCCAGGCCCTTGAGCAAGGCTTTTAACCCCCACCATTTGCTCCCCCGGGCGCCCTAGATAGTAGCTCTCTGCTCCACACAGAGGCTGTGGTAGCTCGATGGTCTGTGGCTGCGTCAGGAAGAACATCTGGCGTAAAAACAATTTCAAAGTCTTTGTGTGAGTTAGTTCGCGCTGAAGAAGGGAGCAGCCGAAAGTATAGGAGGTATTCAGTGCATTGAGAACAATCCCCACTACATACAAAATGCTAAATAGCCTCTAAAGCCAAAAATAATTTATGAATATAAGTCAGCCTTTTTAACTATGCTGTCATTTGGTAAGCCGGTAGTTGAACGTGATCCTTAACACACAGCAAAGTGTTTTTTTATTTTAAATGGCTGCCACATGGCAGGCCCGGTCGGGCAGGAGACTTCTACTCATTATAATAATAATAATTATTATTATTATATATTATATATTATATTATAATAATAATAGTTATTATTATTACCTAGCACCAAACTCAAATAAAGGCGTGGCTCAAGTCTGCGTGTGTTGGTTGTGCAGCGTGGTGCACATGCACACATGATCAGAGGCAACTGTGGGCAACCAACAAGTTTTCTAAAACGCAGCTAATTTTTCTGCTGCATCGTAAATCAGCCGAGAAGGAAATTTTGAAGGGCTGAGACAGCTGATGATGAAGTAGAAGATGATGAAGTCAGGTGATCGTTGGAGTTCCTATGATAAAGATCTACATAAAACTTTTCGTTGCTGTGCATTTGGTCACATAACAGACACATTTGGTGCAGGAGGAAGAGTTTCAGCATGTCAGGGTGATTTTTGCTGCTCTGTTCTTTAGCTGGAGCTCAGCGCTCATACCACACAGAAAAGCTGGGCTTTCTGGTGGCGAGTGTTTCTCCATCAAAGTTCAGCCATCTGTTTCCAAAGAGCAAAGAATAAAAAATAAACTTTCCTCAGGACTTACTTCAATACAAGCAGATGAATGCAGTGCAACAAAGAAGAGAGAAACTTTTCACAAAACCCATGGGCTCATTTTTATGGAGATAAGTCGACTGAAGAGACGCTGTATAAGTACAGTCCATTTACCATTTACCACCGAGCTGCCACAGCCCTCTCTGTGGAGCAGAGCTGTTGTCTAGGGCACCCAGGGGAGCAGATGGTGGGGGTTAAGGGCCTTGCTCAATGGCCCAGAGGGGGCAAATAAGAGTGGAGACAGGTGTGTTTCACCTTTCACCCACGTTTTGATGTTGTTGGGGAAGTTGAACCGGCAACCTTTTGATCACAGGCCCACCTCTCTAACCTCTGTTCCACCACTCCCTCCTATTGTCCAAACGTTAAAACAGACAATGAAACTTCTAGGACAATTGGAAAAAAAGATCTTACATTTTAGTTCAGATAAAAAAAATGTTAATGTGACAAAAAGAACTGCTTGAATTGATAAGTAATGATTAGAAGTTAGAGTGTTGGATTAGAATAAATATTAAATTGGTCTGTTTTCCATAATCCATGGGCTACGATAGGTATAAAACCCAAATTGTGTTCTTTTAAACAGCTCGTAAATAAATTTTCCCTCCCTAAATGTTGTTTTTCAGATACATTCAAGGTTGACATCATGCCAGTAGCTCATGTTTTTCCACTTTCACGATTCTGACTACAAGGTAAGGTGGGACAATGAAGTTGCTGACACAGATTGCTTCTCCTCAGATGTTGCAGCTGGTCACTTGTCAGTTATCCAAATACTCTATCAGAGTCATTTTCTGAGGTAAATATCTACCCTGGTAATCTGTCTTGACCCCAGTTCCTGCAGTGGAAGCAAGAGGGGATAAAAAAAAACTATCCCAGATAATTACCCTGCTTCCTGAAGTGGAAGCATGCCTTCGTTTTGGGTTGAAGTTAGGATTAGGGTTAGAGGATTGAAATGCAACTATAGTGGCTATGGTAGGATTACAAATTACCCTGAGATTATTGTGCTAAATGCATTTGTGGTCACAGGCAACTGAAAAACCAAGATTTTAACGGTGACTCAGACAAGAGAGCAGATGTCAGAGCCTTTAGGGAAACAACATTATGACGACCCAGATGATTTACCAGATGACAGCAGTTTGTTATGTGCAGATTTATTTTACATTATGTAAAACAAGTTAGACCCCATTAAGATTAAAACGTTTCATAAAATCTGTGAAACAATTTGAAGTACTCACGTCTCTGGTGGGATCTTCATTTGAGCCTCAGCCGTAATCCAACAGCAGAGACATCCCAGGATCCTGAGAACACTCCTCATTACTGTCCTCCTGCTCTTCATCCTCCGTGCTCAAAGTTCTTTGCGGTTCATACTTGACTAAATCTCTTGGTAATTATCCAGAATGAGAGCAGAACTTACATAAAATTCTTATTTTTTTTTTATATTACCAAAACTGTTTCGTCCCATTAACCAGCAGCAAAGAACGACCATGTTTGTATCGGTGGGTGTTTGCTCCTAAACGCATTCCATCCCATGTGGGTAAACCTGCAGCTGGAGTGTTTTCCCACTTTCTTGTCTCAGATTTTAATTATAGTCAAGTAAACTCCAAGCAGATTAGAAAATCTTAAAGCCGTCTAATAAAAATAGCTTTGGTCAAGCTATAAATCCATCATGCAGATATTTTGACTGTTGCTGGCTTGTTCAGGTTCCTCCTTGCTCTTTCAAACGGCTCCTCATAAAACCAGAGCGTTAGCATCGGCTCCATTCATCCCCTTTGCTGATGTTTTAGAAGGTAGCCCTCCAGCAGAATGCATTCATCTCTACTGCTGATGAACTTGAACACAATTCAGTTGGATTAAAAATTCCTCTCCAACAATAAACAGACTGAGAGGTGAGAGGCAAGCGAGGGCAGGAGGAGGGATTGGATCACAGCTCTGTTTTATCTAAAGAGGATTAGAGAGAGACAGAAACAGGCTCTCCTGCAAGCCAATGAGAGGTGCTGGGGGTGGGGTGTTGAGCAGGAGCGTGTTGTCCACTTTAACTTCTTAAACATAAGGAGGAGATAAACCAACACAGACCGTGACTCTGACATGTACCCATACAACGAGATAAATTATAACGAAGCAAGAAACAAAGAATTAACTCAGAACCTTCAGGTGCCATGGCTCAACATTAAGTATGGAAACAAAGTTTTGGGTTTTAGCTCAGCAAAGTTACAGCATCATTAACAGATGAGGTCAGGCAGAAATCCCCGTGGATGATGTTTGCAGATGACACTGTGATCTGTGGTGGGAACAGGTGGAAGAGAACTTGGAGAGGTGGAGGTATGCACTTGAAACAAGAGGAATGAAAGTCAGCCGTAGTAAGACAGAGTCCATGTGTGTGAATGAGAGGGAGGAGGTGGAACAGTGAGGCTACAAGGAGCAGAGGTCACAAAGGTGCAGGACTTCAAGGACTTGGGGTCCACTGTCCAGGAACATGGGGAGTGTGGTGAAGAGGTGAAGAAGAGAGTCCAGGCAGGATGGAGTGATGGAGAAAAGTTTCAGGAGAGATTTGTGACAGAGGGTGTCAGCAAAGGTCAAAGGAAACGTTTACAAGACAGTGGTGAGACCAGCTATGTTGTCTGGTCTGGAGACAGAGACATGGACAAAAAGACAGGAGACAGAACTGGAAGCAGAAATGAAGATGTTGAGGTTCTTCTTAGGAGAGACAAGGATGGAGAAGATCAGGAATG